CCCCTAAAAATCTTGTCCTGATTGTTTTTAGATCGAGATGAGACCTATCCTAATATGATCAAGATGATACCTGGTCAATCGAGACAGATCTAAATTGAACACCCTTAGTGGGAGGGTAAAGGATGGGACCACTCAACTCCATACACACATTAAAGTCAATACCGTACAAATACATGAAATGGCCATGGGCTGGTGGTGGCTCAAGATGCACGTGGGCCCACCCTTGGGGATGTGAATTATTGGTTCATGTGTGACTTGGGCCGCTGTTCTCTCTTAGAGGCTAAGCTTCGGAGCATCTGTTATGGATTCATAACTGTAACAGATTTGTTTTTTTTTTAACCAACCTACTACAAAAGATTTGAATTTTAAGAAATTGATTGTGGAGAGTGACTTACAACCCTCTACCAACAACTTCAATCCCTTCTCACTTGCTACAAATTGATTATTGGTAGCTCAAACATGGAGTCAATGTTCTGGAAAGTGATATTGATGTTGTGGTTAAACACGTGTTTTGAAAAGGTAACAAATGTATTGATTGGCTTCCTAAGAAGAGGCAGGATGAGAATCATATTATTATTGAGATGCCTCCAAGGGAGATTGTTTCTTTGATGTATTGAGATGTTGAGGGAGATTCAATCCCTTTTCTTTAAGTATTAGTGCTTCATTTTGAGTGGGCATAGCCCCGTGGCCCTTGTTGTTACCAAAAAGAATTCAAAATTTTTAAAGTCACATACTAACAAAAATCATAAATTTCTAAAAAAATCTAACAAACACCTTTGCATTGCATGGGGCTAAAACTAGTTATGAAATAAAACATGTTTAAATTCAAAATTCAAAATTTATACAACGAAAACATGGTTTGGGATTATTAATTTTTCTATATTTTTGTTATTAGCATGGGATAATGAATCATAAAATAGCTTGCATGAAAATAAAACAAGTTATCATTTAACCTACGTAAATACATGGGGCAATGAAATTTAAGGAAAAAAAAGTTAGATTATATTTCAAGTTATATGAGGTAAGAAATTTTAAAAAATATTGATATTTTTTAATATGTATGAGGGAAATACAATGCAAAAATTGTTCCTTAAATTTTAAAGAAAAGAGAGTGTACATGAGACCCATTATAAAAAAATAAAAAGTAGCAGGAGTGAATGTGAAAATCATAATTTAATTAGTAAAATTATCTACATATTAAATAAATTTTATATTAAATAGAGTTTGGGCGTGAGCCGTTTCTTATAAAAAAAATTTATCCACATGTGGAGAAATTTCTATCTCTCTCTATATATATATATATATATATTCATTTGTAAATTTTAAAAATTTAGACAATGTGTAAAAAATAATAATATTTTTATATTTTAAAAGATTTTGTAGGATTCATAGTAAAATTGATAGCGGAGATAAGATTTTTAGTAAAAATAATATATAACTATTAGATACACAATAAAATTAAAAATGCATTTAGACAAAGTATATATAGTACATACCTGATCAATTTTATTTCAAAATTTATTTTACTCAAATTAATAAATTATCAATAAAAAAATTTAAATTTTTAATTGTATATGTATAAGATAATAAATTGTAGAATTAAATATAAAGATAAGTTTTTTAAAAATAATTTAAAATTATTTTATTAAATTTATAAATTTTAAGTAAAAATAAGCATAAATTATATTGACTCATTTATCTCTTATAGTTTTCTCAATTTTAAATTAGGATCTACAATTTATTTTTTTAATTGAATCCATATAGTTTGATAAATTAAATTTCTTAACCCTTGAAAATTAAAATATTTAAATTTTTCTTTAAAAAATAAAATTAAGAACTTTTATATTTTATTAAATGATTATATAAATTTAAAATTAATTACATAATTTTTATAACTCAAAAATTACATAATTAGGTTGTCTTTTAGATATTTTTTAAAATAATAAAATTTTGATACAAATTTAAAAAGTGTATTAAATTAAATTTTATTTTTCAATTTTGGCTAAAGTTGTTAAATTAAATTTTCTCTAAAATCTAAAAATATTTTTGTTTGAAAAAATTAATAATTAATTATTAATATTAACCTTCAAGAGCATATTTAACACCTCAAATGTAGAGGCTTGATTAAAATAAAATAAATTATAATAATCTAATTAAAATTGAGAAAAAGTATAAGGACTGTAAATTAATTTTTTTTATTTTTTTGATAACTTTTTTTATTTAACTCTACAAATTATTTTTACAAAAGTAAATCTAAAAGGGCCCATATCCGCCACTCCATGGCACCCCACCTTTTGGAATATTATGCTCGGCCCACCTGTTATTGTGTTGCAAGCATAGGATATATTTTTAATTAAATATATATTTATGTATTATAAAAAATTTATTCATTTACTTTTACTTCTCTAATAATGTTTTGGGATTCCTGTCACTCATACCAATCTAAATTAGTAGTTACCACATATTTGTTGTTTCCCATCATTTTTCATGAAATAATTTTAAAATGTTAATTGAACTTTGGCCACATTGAATATATCATTTATTAACTTGCATAATTTATAATGTTGTAACTTCGAATCACCCTACTGATATGAAAATATTATTAGTAGAAAAATTTAATTACCTTTGAAAGCTTTTTTTCTTTTCTTTTTTAGAATAGAGACATGTCTTGATTTTCTGATACTCAATTTACCTTAATTTTTGTTTATAGAAAAAACTTCAAGAGCTGATTATATTAAACAAGCATGAGCTCTTCATTCTGAACTAAAGGGCCAATATATCTCAGGAATTTTGGCTTGTTTTTGTATGAATGATGCATACTTGCTATAAATTTTGCTAAAATTACTCTTACATACTCAGACACTCTTTTTGGTATTTATTATGAAGCATATCTAATTACTTCACCAAAATAAAAAAAATAGTTAAGTTATTAAATTTATTTAAAATAACATAAACTTTTAATTTTATCTCTATTTAAATAAAAAAAATGAAATTTGCTGCTCTGGCTTGAACTTTCTGTATTTATTTTTTCTTTGTGCATTGTTGTCTTGAGCGTTTGCTATCAATTTAATATATAATTATCATTCAGCTAAAAAAAATAGGAGTAACATTGAAATGATATACTCCCTCCATTTAAAAATATAAAGTATTTTTTGAAAGAGTTAGATATTAAAAAATGTAAAATATTTATAGTCTTTTGAGGTATAATCATTACTTTTTTTAAAAGTACCCCTATTAATAGTAATTTTATATTTATTATAAGGTGTTTAATAGGGATAAATATGAAAAGATAGAGTTAGTTTAAAAGTAGATAACTACTTTATTGAAGAGTGAGATTTAATTAAAAATATTTTATATTTTTTAACAGAAGAAGTAATCAATACCACATCAAGTGCCTTATATTAAGAATCTAAAAAAAAAAATTAGAAAGCTTCCTATAATAGGGCTAGTATATCCTTTTACTGTCAAAATTTTCTCATTTAATTAACTAAGATGCTCTCCATGCAAAACAAAATGCAAAAGAATTGGTAGAGGATACTTTAATCGAAAATTAATGAACACTAGAAGATTAAAGTATAACAGCTATATATATATATATATATATTAGTGCGCACGATAATGTCAGCAAATAAAAAAATTATTTTAACAAAACTAAAAATCACATGTGATTTATCATGAATTCTTATATATCAAGTTTATAAAAAAAAATTGAAAAAAATTATATACGTAAGCTTATATATTTAAAGTGCTTTTTTTAATCAAATCAAAACATGTTAATTTTAATCTTTTCTAGATTATTTACTCCAAAATAAATTCTTCTCAATAATATTATTAACACTTTAAAATTTATTTATTTTAATTTAATTGGATAAAAATATATTGAGGATAAAGGGCTAAGTATTAAAGTCTTAAACATATTAATTATAATCATATTTTGATGCTTAAGAATTTATAAAATGAGTCTAAAAATAATTTTAAAAAAATAAAAAAAATTAATTATTTGGTCCTTATAGTTTTAACCCGGTTGTAACTCAGTCTCTGAACTTTAACTCATTATAACTCAATCCCTAAAATTTTGACTTAGTTATAAATCAATCCTTAAACTTTAACTCTTGTAATTTAGTCGCTAAAGTTTTAATATCTTAAATGTTGATCCCTACATTTTAAAAAATAAAATTATAAAGATTAAAAATATTTTAAATTTTTAATCTTTACAATATTTATAAATTTTAAAAGAGTTTATTAATTTAATGTTAGTAATAAATTTTAAAATATTTTTAATATTTATAATTTTATTTTTTAAATGTATGGATCAATATTTAGGATGTTAAAACTTTAGAAACTAAATTGTAAAAGATAAAATTTAGGAACTGATTTATAATCAAGTTAAAACTTCAAAGATTGAATTAAAACAAATTAAAATTTAAAGAATGAATTACAATTAAGTTAAAATTTAAAAAAAAAGATTAATTTTTCTAAAAAAAATAAATAAACCTCTAGTAAGACAAACTTCATTTTTTGTGCCATTCAACGACATACGCACATAATCTTTAACACATAAATGACAAAGTTTGGTCCTCAGGCTTAATTAAAAATTTCGAATTGTTTGTATTATATTAAATTGTAAAAGTTATAATTTAAAAAAATATTTTTAAAATTTTGAAAATACTTTTGAAATTAAATATTGTTAATTTAAATGTTTTAAAATTAAAATACTAATATTTTTGTCTTCTCAAACTTTTTAAAGAATTCAGCATTCAGTCAAAGCAGGAGGATGGTCCAAATTGGGAAGCTGCAATGATGTATCAAAGCAAGTTGGCAGGTGACTTGTCAACTTCCACAATCGATATTCAAATTATCAATCAAGTCTACAAATTATTAAAATTTTTAACGCAATTTCTTGTTTTTTTTTAAATAGAAGTACTCGTTTTAATGAATTAGTCATAAAATATAATATTTTAAGATTTTACAACATGCAAATTGTACAGCTCCTTCAAAAGTTACAGGCTCAAAAACAGAATCAGTACAAGTCAAAAAATATTTATAATAAGGAGAAATATTTGAATAATTCAAGTATTCTTGAATGGGATACTTCACAACTCCCTTATTTGTTACCTGAACAGACTCAATGTCATCTGTTTCTGAGTTTTCATTCTGTTCAGGTGCTGTTTTAGACGCATCGTTATTGTATTCATGCTGTTCAGGTTCTGTTTCAGAGACATCCTCATTGTTTTCATGCTGTTCATTCTGTGGAATTTGTGTGCATTCATAGTCCTTCAGCCACCTAGGAGGCTTTCTTGGTCTCCTGTGTTTCTTGTGTTCAGGTACTACCCTTGTAGAAGTGCGTTGTTCTTGCAAATCCATAGAAGGAAGTTCATGATCTGCAATATCTATTTCTTGTATAACAGATGAGGGTTGCAAATCATTATCATTTATAAATGGGTCGATTCGTTGGACTTGATCTCCCCCTAAATTTATGCATTCACTATCTCCAAAAGGAAACTCGTTTTCCATAAAGGATACATGTCTATTGACCATCATGGATTTAGTATTCAAATTGTACAAAAGATATCCTTTCTGTGTTGTAGGGTATCCCATAAAAATACAAGGGTCTGCTCTAGGTTTTAATTTGTCTAAATCATGCAGTTTAGTAGCAAAAGCCAAACACCCAAACTACAATGTCCGCCCTGATATTATCAGAACAACACTCACATACCGTCATGATAATTAGAATTAAATAAAATCCTATAAAGAAGTTATCACAATTCAAGGGTTTACAAATAATTTGTTTAAAATATTGAAATTTTAAGAAAACCCTTTTAGAATATTGTTTGAGCTCAAACCATGGTTAAAAATCAATTTAGAACAAATACGAAAGTATGGGAAACAAACCACTTCAAAATTAGGCAAAAATGCCATTCTTCTGCAAATTCTAGTCCGTCTGCCGTGGTGGTTGGCACAGAAGGACGAGTCCCTCGAAGGCCCAAGGCGCTGCGGGGCAACAACCACGTGCCGTGGCGCACACCTACTGTCATGACAGCAGATTGTTGTCATGACAGCCCTTTAAACTTCCAGAACGCGCTGTTTCGCCATCCGATGTTCAATTTGAACAGTTCAAGTGTCACATGAAACTCTTTAAGCCCTCTAACTAATGACACCGGTCTCACACCCAAATAACCATCCGTTTAAAAGATGGACACCTGAACCTAAAATAGTTCGTTTTCATCTCAAAACATATATAAAGGTGTCCAACTCACAATACCAAATGCCATTAACCCCAGAGACACTTTAACCACCTCAAATAGACTACACACAACATAACAATTTATTCATATCACACAATTGAGCAATTACGCTCAAAATAACCACCCAAACCCCATTTGACAATAACACAATGGGGCAGATAAAATCCAACACACAAATCAATTGGTCATTTTGGCACATAAATCACTTGAAATATATCACATGTAAGTGTAACTTGACCAAGCACATACTTAATCCCCAACATCAACCTTGGACCAAGATACACACACCCTTATCACAAATTCATACTAAAGGAAAATTACAACAATGTTATGTTCCTAGGTTGGCATTATATATATATATTGACAATATTCGTTACAATGCCTAAAAAGAAGAAAGACAAGAGCTATACAAATATGCTCTTCACTCTCCAAACGCTTCTTCTTTCCTCTTACCTCTATTGGAACCCTCACATGTAAAATATAACCATGGGGTGAGATAAACATCTCAATAACCAATATAGTTCATCAAATGCTTATTACCACAAATAACCATGATAAACTATCAAAATTATAGTAATATCAAGTATACCGTATTTATAAGATAAATGCATCTTTTCGCAACAATTTCACACTATTTCACACTAGTATGATCATCTAATTACTGAACCTCCAATACTCCCCGACATGAAACCATAAGTTCTCCTGGATCAATTACTTGTTTACCCGAGCATACTTTCAACGGTAAAAATACTTGACCAAAAATAATTTAACCCACCTATGGACTATGGTTTTTCCCTCTTCACACACTTGTGATAGAGGCATCGTTGACTCTTAACTGCACCCTAACAAGTATTAGGGTGTTGCCAGACTATCCGAATGTCCCATGGTAATAATCCCATCTAATGCTGCACTAAATGTCCCATGGTGCCAGCCCGACTATATGAATTTTTCACTCACATATCTCCACACACACATATCTCAGGTGAACTCCCTCCCCCTATAATCATGTTCTTTTTCAGTTTCCACTATTTTTCTTCACATTTCTACATCATAAACTTATATACTAGTATATATGTATCAATTGAAATCAATAATTTTTTACAAATCGATTTTCATGCTAAAATCATTTACAATATCAAATTATGCACAAAACTCTTCAAAGCCACAACTCTATCATTTGTATTTACTTTTACACAGTTATAATAGTTAATAAACACAATAAACTATATGATTACCTCAACCTTTTGTCACACAAAAAGGGTTATCGTGGCTTAACGTTAGCTTCACACATTTTATATGCTTGATAAGGCTCAAGCAACGATCAATCTACACAATCAAGTGACAATCATAAATTATCACTTCGGTTAACTCCAAATTCACTAAGTTCTAAGTGCCTATAACACCCAATTTCCTTTTCTTATAATATCAACCATTCTCAAACACTAATTATCTTATTAAACATCCCAACACACCAAAATCACTGACCAATATCTCACATTATCTCAAAATCCTCAAATTATACTTAGGGTTCGTCCAAACTCTTACCAAAATTTTTTAATCACCACAAAACTCATAAACTTAGGGTTAGAGGTTTGATTTAACTCTCCAAGATCTTAAATAAACCAATGGGTTCAACTAAACCCAAGGGAACCGAAATCAAAGCCCTCATTGCCCCAAATGTCCAGATTTTTTGCATAATAAGGGAGAAGAGAGGATGTGCAACTTATTCAACAGTAATTCAAGCTCCAAATGCCTCTAAAGTAGCCTAAGATCGTACCCTAGTAGACCACAAGCTCTTCTCCGTCACTCTCTTGTTATCCCTCTTTCTTCCTCCTATTTTCGATGATACAGTCTACCAGTCCCCTTGATCGTTCCAGTCAAGATGTCCTACAGAATACACCCATTAGGAGAAAACAAAACAATACAATTCTCAGCCACAGTTAACTGTGAAACAGAAATCAGATTATGTTGTAGGACAGGAGCATATAAAACGTTTTTTAACATAATTTCATCACCTATTTTAACATCTCCTGTGTGTGTCACTGTAAGTCTATCCCCATTAGGCACTTTAATTCTTTTTAAAGGTCCTAAATAACGTCTACAGGTATCAAGAAGACTGATGCTACTGACGACATGACTAGTGGCCCCAGAATCAAGTAGCCAGATAGGAGACGAATTAACATATCCAATCAAACCTGAGGGGGTCCCAATGGCACCAACGGCACTATCGTTGGAGTTAGAGTCTTTCTTTAGCATTTGCAGGAGCTGTTCATATTGTTGAGGAGTCAGGTTTGGAGTCACGGCGATAGTGTTCCCAAAGGAGGATTGATCTGGTGTATGAGCATATGTCTGATTAATCTGAGATTCCTGCTCCTTTACACAAGGTTCAAAGTTAAGAGAGAAGCCTACTAGCTGAAAACATTGGCCCCGCTTATGGCCTCTTCTATGGCAGTAAGAGCATTCGTCTGGGTTGGCATTCCATCCCCTTCCTCTACCACGACCATTTCTCCCCCCTTGGGTGGTCATCACAGCATTGTCATGTGAGCTATTGGAAGGAGTAGAACTAATCAATCGTTGTGCCTCATCTTGGGAAATGAAAGAGTAGGCCTGATTGACACTAGGTAATGGCGACATAAGCAATATTTGATTGCGAGCCTAATGAAATGTCTCATTTAATCCCATAAGAAACTGAAAGAGATGTTATTCGTGCATGACTTTGACTTATTCTTTGGATGCTTGACAATTACAAGTAGGGATAACAACGAGACCCCCAAATTCATGCCACAATTCTTTCAATTTAGAATAAGTGGAAACAGGAAGTGAACCTTGGGTGAAAGAATTAATAGTATGGTGAAGATTAAAAATCTTTGACCCATCAGATTTATCGAATCGTTCTTTGAGGTCCATCCAGATGAGGTGAGCATTTTCACAGAAGGTAATACCACAAGAAATTTCTTTATCGACGGAATTGATCAGCCATGAGAGAACCACAGCGTTGCATCGATCCCAAGCATTTATCAAATCTGGAGCTCGTGCGGTACGAACAAATGTGCCATCCACAAAACCAAGCTTGTTCTTACTAGTAAGAGCAATCTTCATTGCACGGCTCCAAGTAGGGTAGTTATCAATCCCAGTAAGAACAGCAGAAACAATAGTAGTTGCCTAACTGTCAGACGGATGCAAGTACAGAGGATGACTGAAATCAAGAGTCCCCGCAGTGATCTTGGAAGAGGTGTCACCGGTACCTCTGGAGGTCTCATTGGAGAAGGCATTATCTCTGTTCATATCGTCTGGATCTTGATGAAGAGGAGTACACGAATGATGGATAAATAATAGCCAAGCAAGAACAAGATCATATCTGGAAGGGTTGAGTAGAAACGGAAGCTATGAGTTGTTTTCTGGTTTTGGATCAGATCTGAGATGACGATGACTTAAAGAAATTTTTGGTTATGGATCAGATTTGAGATGACAATGACTTTGAGGCTGAGATGGGTTTTGCAGGAGAAAGATCACAAGAAGGGAAAAGACACGCAACACAGTGTGTTTCTTCTTGTGCATGCGCAGAGCGCTGCGTTTGCAAATCAAAGTACTCGCTGGATCTTGTTTGTGATGGTCCCAAATTCTTTATTTTGGGCCCAATATTGATCCTGTGGTGATGAATCTTGGTTTCTCGACCGAAGTAGATGACATACCTCTGAACAATCATGGGCCCAAAGATGGCTTGCTCTTGATACCATGTCAAACCGAGAGGATTCCTGAATAATACATGGACTATTATTGATAATACATAAAAGACAGCCTATCCTTATATAGGCCTAAACCCAAACCATTACAACATAATAAAACTAACCCAAGATTAATCAGATTTAATCTTTCACATTACAGTTGCTTCGAACTGGATTGATGATTTCATACTTTTGATCATCCACTGTCTTATTATTAAAAAGTGGTGGATTATAAGAAGCTGTTGACTTAATTTTCTTGTATCCTCTATTTTGAGACTGTGATCAAATTTTTCAATCTAGGGGGAAAAAAGGCTTTATCATGGCCCATGTATTATTCTTGATCATCATTTGCTTGAGTATTGCATTTGCAAAGGAACTGGATATTTGGAACCCCATCATGCCATTGTGTTGGATCAATTTTTCCCCAAAATTTATACATTTAAAATATCTAATTTAGAAAGAGTCCATCATTTTGGATTGAGAATATATGAATATATTCCAATTAGATTTATATTTAAACTAATTTCATGAAAGTAATGAATATATATTAAATTGCTATATGATGAGTAAAATAATTAAAGAAATTACTACATGATCAATAACTAATGTCTTGTAACAACCAAGTTGAATGACTTGTATTATAAACACACACCATGCATCGGATAATGAAGTTTAGAATCAAATATATTATTTGAGTTTTGTTTTTTGGCATGAGGTGAAAGATTATGAAGTAAAATTGCATTCGTTAATATGGAGTAAAATAAGATATTATTTCGTATTTACAATATGTACAAGGTTAAGAATTTATAAAATAAAATAAATTAAATTATTTTCTATTTTTAACATGCATGGTAAATGAAGATGCAGAGCAATTAATTCCTTTTTTTTTTTTTTTTGTTGGCATCTATTTAATGATTAATAATATAATTTCCGTATCTTCCTTTCCACGGATCCCCCGGAGGCCTAGACCATGGGAGTACATGCGCTGCTCAGTGCCCATGTGCTCACCATTATACACGGTGCATGTAATTTGGTGTTGTCATTACATGAATGTCACAATTTTTGAAGCATGTATATTCTATATAGAAATTTCACAACAAATTTTTTGAAGAAAAATTCGCAAATTCACTATTATTTTAAAAAAGAAATTTTCACTTCTATAAATATAAACTGATATTAATTTTATTAATGTAGTTCTTGCATGAAATTTATGAATAAGGTTGAAGAGAATCCAGCTTGCTTATTGAAAGTATTATGAATTGATTTCAAATACTAAGCATCCTAAATAATGGAACAAACAATCGACATATAATAAAAATAAAATGTTTTAGAAAAGAATAGATTTCATGTCCACACAAAACATCTTTATATATATATATATATATCTACTCCCTTCATTTAAAATATAAGACATTTTTAACCAAATGTCATCCCTAATAAAGTAGTCATCTACTTTTAAACTAAACATGTCTTTTCATATTCATCCCTATTAAACACCTTATAATAAATATAAAGTCATTATCAATAAGAGCAGTTTTTAAAAATCAACAGTTTTTAAAAATCAATAATTATACCTCGAAAGACTAAAAATGCCTTATTTTTTTGAACATATAATTCTTCAAAAAAATACCTTATATTTTTTAATAGAGGGAGTATATATATATATATATATATATGTTAAAATGTAAATGAATGGAAAAATAAAGAATTAATCTATATTCTTAATTGAACAAACTATGTACTAAATATGATACATTTGTCACAATAACTAGCAAAAGTAATCATATATGCATTACATGAAAATTAAACTTAATAACTAATATATAATAAAAAATAATGATCATAAAATTTGAATTTTGAAATTTTGAATTAAGATATAACATTTTTTCATTATTCTTTCCTATTCGTTCTCTTCTCCCATTTCTGAGCTAACAATACTAAATCATAAAACAAATAAAACAAATTAAGTTTTTTTACAGTGTCGAATCAAGTTAGATGGTAATTAATTAACATGCAATTTGTTTCATACTTCATACAACTTCAACAATGTCTTCAATTATTTTGCTCCTTGCCAACAGAAACATGCACACCAAATTAAATGAAGAAACTTAAAATTGTAAAGAGCTGGATATGGCACATCGATCAGAAAGTGATGGATGATCATCTTCTTGAAGATTTGAGGAAGAGACGACATGGCCTTACATGTTAACTTTGCGCCTGGAGTACAAATATATATATATATATATATATACACATGCTAATGAAACGCGTGTTTGGTTCTGCAACAGAATTCGTAGCTTCCATTCATGGAACAAGCATGTCCCAAACTAGTCCGTAATGAACAACTGAAACTTTTCAACAAAGGAAAAACATGTAATTATTGCAAACACGAAAAAGGAGATAAAAAAAAAATTACAAGAAGGAATAGAAACATTCATATTGCTAATGATAATGATAAGTAAGCTAAGGATTTGAAGCCACTTATAATATTTGCCCCTCTAATTGTTTTTTTTAAAAGAAACATTCATCTTAAACAATTTTGCATTCCATATGTGTGTATTGAATATTATAAACCTAATTATATTAGATGTATAGGTAATGAAAATATGATTAAAGGGCATGTTTGCCCTCTGAGCATTCTCGAAAGAATTGTGATGAGCACCTTAAAAAATCGTAGAGCAATATAACATATAATATTTCTTAAAAAAAAAAAGAGATTTTAACCATTTTAAGATTTCAAGTATCTAGTGCGAGCTATGCAACTTTTTACAAACAATGTTGACTGTTAAAATTTAAAAAAAAAAACATTGGTTTGGGAAATTATTAGCCATACTGTTCCCAAAAAAAAATTAGAGTGCCCATAGCTCTACCAAAGAGAAAATGGTCTTTAATTAATTAAAAATTACTAATTTATAAATTTTTACAAGGAAATGTATTCTCTAAAGTTGATACCCATGAATTTTTATGAAGTTTTACTTTTTTTATATTTTTTCATTTTATAATTTTTATAAAGCATAAAATAATCTCTTGTTTTCCAAAATCAAACTTTTTGAAATTTATAAATTCTCAATTTCCGAAGATCTATTATATTCTCTTTTTGCAAATTATAACAAATTTTTGCTCAAAAAAAATTATAACAAATTTGAAAGGACCAAAATAATTGTTTTATCTCTCCATAATTCACGGACTAACTTTTATTATGATCTTAATTACTCAAATATGCAGTCAAAGATGACAGGAAAATAACACTAAACTAAAAGAATATCTCAGAAATAATTTATTATTAATTATAATTATTTTGTTAAAAAGTAAGATTTAATTAAAAATATTTTATATTTTAAATGATAGGTAATAATTATTGATTAAGAAGGGTAAAAAAGAAAAAGAGTTGAGCATGGGCATGTTAGGCCTCCATTCCTAATTGGCACGATCCAAATTCCAAGGAAAAAGAGATAATCTGACCAGAACTTTGAACGTGGAATCCATATGACCTTTAATGGTATGAAGATGACAGCCAACAAATTCTAGAGTCTCTCTCCATTATCCAAAGTTGAAAACTGTCAAAATTAAAATTTTTGTTTTAAATGCACAAAAAAGCCCTCAAAATGAGATGCATTTGATGAACATTTTCAATTACTATGCACTCTTAGATGAAGATGTGCATGCATTTTAATTAAACATTAACAGTAAGGATTTTTTCCGTAGAAACAATAAGGATATTTTAAAAAAACACTATCAGAGTCATAAAAATAACTAATATTCTCGCAATCGTGAAATGGATACATTTGTTTATATGCAAGACCTAGGAGAGAGGATGACATATAAAATAGTATAATGCATGTGCCTATGTTATGAAATAACGCACGAGGCGTCGGGACCAAAACCCTTGAAAACAATCACTTGAGTTTTTTTATTCCCGGTCACCAAGTGGCGAGTGGCCAGGTATTAAATGTCGAGTTGATGCCAGCATGGATTCAGGTTCCTTTCTACTGTACCAAAAGAAAATGGAATAATTCTTTGCTTGGCATCCCCCACTTCCAGATTTCCTTCCATTCTACTCCATGCCCTTCACTCATCATTCCATCCACTCCCTTCTCACCTCAATTTTACTTTTCAACATTCCAAACCATCATATAATTTATTAGGATAAAGAAGCATTTTTATTCTAAAAGTATTTTTCAAGAAGCACCTAATTTTTTAATATTTTTATTGGAGCAATTTTACTTGACGTTAACGGTCAATGCTTGAAGTTAACATTGAAAATTTGATAAAAAAGACAAAATTATTTCAACAAAAACGTTAAGGTGTTGAATGCTCTTTAAAAAATACTTTAAGGACAAAAATGCACCTTTATCTAATTTATTCTTATGCTTAATTTCCAGAATTTTATCATCCATGTTATTTGAATTTATATTCGGCGCATCCCTTTATATATATAAATTTAATATCAATGTAAAATGATGGAAAAAAATGTCAATGTAAAATAAAAAAATTATTAACTTCTCTGTTTTTTTTTTTGTATTTTAAATCAAATATTTACGTGAGTAGTGGAGTAGACGCGAGGACAAATGCTGGGGGAAGAGAGGAAAGATCGACAATTGATAGAAGAAAACAAGTATAGCAATTAAAGTGGGAAGCACTTTGGAATTCCTTTCATTACCTGGCAATAAAACGCGGCATGATGTGTTCATCTCCCTTCATCAAAATGTTTCTGACATGTCAGACGCCATCAGCAATCCACGATTTCCCAGTTCGGGAAAAGTCCCCACTTAGCAGCAGGATTGGCTGGGAAAGAAAGTTTCAAATGAAGTTGGATGCCCACACCACTTGGATTTGCTCTACAGTCCTCCTTCTTAAATGGATAATATCCCACATATACTCGATCGACAAAATGATCATCTTCTGCACTGTTAATATCATTAGTGGCAGTTCTTTTATTGGTATGACAATAATCTGCAAACTTCCAATTCACTGAAAAACTATAATCCCCTTCATCGACATAGGATTGGAAAGCAAGGGCTACAGCAATTCCCCAGCATTGTCCATTATTAGAATCAGCCATGTCACAAGGTATGTCTGCCGTTATGGTTACCACTTCTTCACTTGAACTACTCTCTCTACTACAACAATGTTCCTCTCCTTCAAACCATTCAAACATTCCTGCTCTCCAAGGGAATCCCATTGAGTTGCAGTAATCATAAAAAAGGTGAATGGGATCCTGCAGAACACTAACATGTTGTCACGTATAAAATAAAACACTATCAAGTATCAAATATTAAATATTAAATACTAGCTACCAAATACTGTTAATTAGTGTCGATTCATTGCAATCAAAATGAAACAAAAGTGTAAGCTAAGAAACCATGTTAATTACATAAGACATAGAGAAGATGAAAAACCTTAGATACAGGTGATCCGGAGAGGTATTTTACAACTGCATCTTTGGGTTCCAACAAATCACAATGAGTCGCTTCTATAATTAAATTTGGAGGAAGCTCGGGAACTTTCTCAAGCTTTCTGCAATTCTCCAAATTCAAATATTTGAGATTTATTAAATGAATAATGGACGAAGGAATTTCTGTGATTGATGTATAAGACACATCTAACAAGTATAGACTTGTCATATTTTTCCCAAACTCCGGGAGCTTCTCAAGGCTTCGACATATTTCAAGACCAAGCACCTCCAGATTATTCATTTCCAGGCAACTTGGAAGCGTAGCAAGATTTATACAATATGCCAAACTCAACTCAACTAGTTTCTTCAGTTGTCCAATAGATTCATGAACATGACATAACTTAAAGCAATAATCAAGGAACAACTTCTCAAGGTTTGGGGTTGCACTGAAATCTGGAGTTTCTATTAGATCTTCAGAACCAGCCAAAGTGATGATCCTCAACTTATCTAAACGCTGGCCAACATATAAGACACAAAAGCAAAATGAGAACAATTAGTGTTTTCAAAAGTTTAATGATAATATGTGTTTGCGTATATGTGTGTATAACTTATGGAGCGGGGGACCCCCTGGTCCCTCCTTCGCTAAGGGACAGTGAATCTGCATCGTCCGAGTTTAATTTAGACGATCAAAATTTAAAATATTTATTTTTTATATTCATTAAAAAATTATAAAAATTGCGATAAATGCTTGATCACCAATCTAGATGGTTCAAAGTTAATATGAATGGTCCAAACTTAATGTTAAAAATTTTTATAATTTTAATAAATTGACCATCCAGATATTATGCAGATTTAATATTAAAATTATAAAATTTTTACATTTTTAATATTAAATTTAAATTATCTATATTAAATACGGACTCTCAACAAGAATTGAAAATCATAGTTAATAATTTTTTTATAATATTTATAAATTGATTATCCAAATATGCTCTAAAAATTACAAGTTTAATATTAAAATTACAAAAAATCTTAATTCTAGTATTAAAGTTGTACAATCTATATTAAATCTTGATTGTTTAGATTGGTGATAAGAATTGAAAATCATAGTTAATAATTTTTTTATAATATTTATAAATTGATTATCCAAATATGCTCTAAAAATTACAAGTTTAATATTAAAATTACAAAAAATCTTAATTCTAGTATTAAAGTTGTACAATCTGTATTAAATCTTGATTTTTTAGATTGGTGATAAGATTTAATAAATTTTTTTTATAAATTTATTTATTTAAATAAATATAAAATTAAAATTAAAACATTGAATTTGGACTGTCCAGATCATCTATGGAGAGGAGAGGAGGGGTAGTGGAGGGATGGTGAGGAGGAGAGAAACCGAGTCCATAACTTATTCAAGATTGGGGAAGGAAAGCATACCGGTGCTCCAATCCATAATCTTTCTATTGTGCTGAAACGCAACTCAAGGATCCCGAGTTCATACAGCTGATCGATCGACGGTAGAGATTTCAGAGCATAATAATTCCATCTGAGAAAATTTAATGAACTGGGAAGAACATTGAGATTCTGTGAAAGACGAACACCACTCAAGTCCAAAAGTCTAAGATTTTCCATCTTCGAAAAGCAATCTGGGTGCCACTCCGCTTTAAAATCTCCTATATTCAAACATATGCTTTGAACTTTTTTCGTTCCCTGTAATAAATGTGTATGCAGATGAATTTAAGATGATGAGAGATAACAAAAATATCAAGTGAAAGAAAAAGATAATGCCATGCATAAATTAACTGTAGCACACTTAAAAATTAAATTCTTGCCTTATTTCTTTTCAACATGTAATCAACCTCCTCTAGACACCACAATCTGCTACGTTTACAGGGATCACTTTTTGATTCCTTCAAAACAATATTCCTTCCCATCTCTTGAAGCAAATCGTGCATTGCAAGATGATCTTGTGGATAATATTCAAGCTGGCGGTAATGGCTGATTAAAAGTTCCCTTCTCATCTTTCGAAGCCCATCATCCATATATTGACGTACATCGTAATCAAAATGTGACCTCTCTATACTATCTAATTGGACGATACTTAACAATGATTTTTCGATCAGAACATCAATTCCAATTACTGAATGAAGACCGCATGCTTTTAATATATCTTTCACTTCAGCCTTCGTTCTTCGGACGAAGAAACATGCAATATCTAAAAATATATCTCTGTACTCTTCATCTTCCAATCCTTCATAACTGATGCAGAGTTTACTAAAGATATCATTAGGTAAAGTTTGCTTCAACTTGTCTAATGCATCTCTCCATTGAACTTGATCTCTTTTGCAAAGAAATCGCCCCAAGACTTCAAGAGCCAAAGGGAGTCCACAAGCATATTTAACTACTTCTTTCGACAAATCCAAATAACCTTCATCAGGCTCATCCCTTTTAAATGCTTTCCGGCATAAAACCTTAAGGGAATCATCTTCATTCAACTCTCCAACACCATACTCTTCAAACTGTTTGTATTGTGTCAACAATTGTTTATCTCTAGTAGTTATTATGATTTTGCTCCCTTCACCAAACCACTCTTCACTTTCAGCCAATTTGTCCAGTTGGTTTCCATGGCTGATATCATCGAGAACAATGAGAACCTTTTTATGGCATAAAAAAAATCTTATTTCCTTTGCTCCATCATGGGCATTTTTTATTTCTGGTTCTATTCGTCCAAGGCCTGAAAGAAGCTTCTTTTGTAAGTAAACAAAGCCATGCTTTTCACAATCCTCCCTTACATTAGCAAAAAAATAGCTAGCCTCAAACTTGCTTCGAAGTGCATCATAAACAACTCGACTAAGAGTGGTTTTGCCTATACCGCCCATTCCCCATATCCCAATGAAGCATTTATCATCCAATCCTATCTTTAAAAGGGAGATGATTCTATCCACCTTTGATTGAATGTCTCCAACTAAATGTTCAAAATTTGATGGCAACTTCAAACATAATTTGTACCACACATATTTCACAATGTCTTCAACAATTTTCGCCTCAGGTCTGCTTTGACCAAAGAATATTAAGTGATTATGCTCCGTAAAATATAAATTTCAATCAAATTAAAGGAGAAATGAGCAAATTAAATAGGTATATTTGTATACATAATCTCTTAAACGTAGAGAAGGATATAAAGGAGGGGGGAAAATATATATTTTTTTTTTTCAATTCAGCTGCAACTTGAGACGAGCTTTTGATTGAGGCATACGAGTATATATTAAGTTTACATTTCTTACTCGACCTATATATGACAACAGACAATATGCAATATCCATAAGAAACATGCAATTCAAGTTATTCGAGAGGGAACAACAAAAGTGTGCCCGAAAACATATGAGAATTACTTCCTCATGTAAAACAATATGTTACAAGAAAATCACTCAAATACCCAAAAAGTTATGACTACTAGAACTGTTTTTATGGCAATTGAGTATTGTTATAAATCAAAGAGAAATGTCAAAAGCATATAATCACGCAAGTCATTCTTGTTCAGGTTCAATTTATTTGAATGATTTTTCCCCCTAGTTATTATGTCAACAATTGTATGTCTCTCGTAATTATTATGATTTTGCTCCCTTCACCAAACCACTCTTTAATTCTTGCCAAATTATCTAGTAGACTTCTATGGCTCACATCATCAAGAATGATGAGAACCTTTTTACGGCATAAAATATTTCTTATTACCCCTACTTCATCATAGGTATTAAATATATAATAGTTTAATTATTTAGATAAGATATGAAGAGCATATTTATAATAAAAGATCAAATTAATCTGTTCAATATAATTTTTTAAAAGGCAAAATGATGATAAAATTATTTATATTATTATAATTTTAATCCTAGCATTATTATTTTTTAAAAAAATTAATTTTATATTAAATTATCTCACACTTATAACTAGAGTCCTGGCCTGGCTCCATCACTGCATTGGAGGATACACCCCCCCCCCCCCCAAAAAAAAATTCCATCTACAACTGGAGTATGTATTAAGTTGACATTTCTGACGTAACCTTATGACAGAATATGCGTCGTCCATAAGAAACAATTCCAATTCTTTGAGGAGGAACCACAAAAGTAGGCCCGAAAACATATGAGAATTACTTTCTCACATACAACGATATCTTATAAGAAAATCAAAAATGCCCAAAATGCTATATGACCACTGAAACTGTTTTTATAGCAACTGAGAATTGTTATAAATCACAGAAAAATGTCAAAAGCACAACCACCTCATTTTTGTTCCGGTTCAATTTATTTCAATAATTTTTTTTTTGGGGTTAAACCATCAAGTCTCTATGATTATAATTATAATGAAACTAACAGATATTCATATTTACAAGAGAGAATCTCATTTAGGGTTCCCAAAATACAAAATTTTTTATTTAGAGCTTAATAGAATTTGAAAATATAATGCAAGTCAGTCGGCCAGTTTTGTAGTAGATGAAAAGAGGCATTTGTTCTTATCTCAATAAAATATCCATGTATGTGCAACATAATGTTAAAGAATCCTTAACATAATATTCATGAATGCACAACATATGATATATATTAACCACTTAAGTATGTTGTTTCAATGAATGTATATTTCCATTATGAATTTTATATTATATAAATATTAGAGGTTTATATATGTTCAATGAGTCTGCGTATTCATAAACATTGTGTAAACCCTGTTTAGAAATATTTTATTAAACTACAAATGTAAATTTTGTATTTTGAGAGCCTGAGTGAAAACTCCCTGTTTAGAAATACTACAGTTGACACTTGACAGCTTTCTGCTGCGTTTTGAAAGTTGATGAAGAGAATATGTATCATTCTATAACAAGTATATATTTGACACGTCGTTTGAAAAAAAAAAAAAAGTCACATTGATAATGATGAAAAAATTTGATCTAAACACAAAGAAATTAAAAAATAAAATACTAAGAAGCAAAATTGTGAGAATATAAAAAAAAAAAAAAAGGTAATGAATTAATGATAACTTACTTATCCTTTTTTATATGCCAACCAGAGAAATTAGCAATCTGCGTTAAAGCTTCTCTCCATCTTGGAACTTCATATGGAAATCTAACTTCATGGGTATCAAAAGCTGTAGCAAATTTTCTTTTTTGATGCCGAACATCAGTTGGAGTTACGTGATAAAAAACTGGGAAAATTGTTTCACTGGAGTCCTTTTTGGATTCTAGGATCTTCTGCAGTTCATCCAAACACCAACGGGAAGAAGCATAATTCTTGGAGAGCACAACAATCGCAAACATGGATTGCTCAATAGCTTGGAGAAGTTCCTCGGAAATAACTTCTCCTTTGTGAAGATCTTTATCATCCTTGAAAGTTTCAATCCCTTGTCGACACAAAGCAGCGTACAAGTGATCAGTGAAGTTGGTGCGAGTGTCGGTGCCTCTGAAACTCAAGAAAACATGATACTTCATCGGAGAAGATGAAGCAGAGGAAGGACCTGGAGCAGCCGTTGAAGGAGCTTTTGGGCAAACTGGTAAAAGGGAATGAAATATTCAGCGACGACCGAATGAAAGGGGAAGAAGGAATGTCATTTTTGGCGCGTGGAGGCAGCTTTTTGGTGTGGTACATAGTTTACCCTTTGGTTAATTTTTTCTTTTATCAGTTTTCACGTGGGTGGGTCCCCTTCCGATTTCTTTTTCATTGATCTTGGGATTATTATTCTTGTCGTTTGCAATAATAGTGTACACAGCCATAAGCCATTGACGACAATCTCTTGGTTCTTTGGTTGGCATTGCATTTGCAAAGCAAATGGATAGTTGGAACAATCACTCGTTCACACTACACATCGTTTCGGATCAATTTTTTCTCCCTAATTTATGCATTTAAGAAATCTAATTTAAAAAAAGCCCATCAAATTGGATAGAGGATGTAAGGATATGCTAAAATTCCTTGTCGAAGAAGCGCAGCGTGCAAATGATCAATGAGGTTGGTGCGCGTGTAGGACTGTCGGTGCCCTGAAAGGACGGCCTTGGATTGTCACAAAACTTTTTAAAAATATTTTTTTATTTATAAATAAAATGCTAAACTTAATTTTGGTTCTCAAAAACATGATAATTCATCATAGAAGGTGAAGCACTGGAAGGACCTGGAGCAGCCATTGGAGTGTTTGGGCAAATTGGTAAAAGACAATCAAATGTTTCACTTGTCTTCTTTTCAAGCTATTTTCAATATATTTCATCAAAATTAAAAAATTTTAAATTTTATTAACTTTATTTTAAATTTAATAAGTTCTTACATCTATCCTTTAATAAAGATTAAAAAGAATTATTTTTAATAATTTTTTTTGAAAAATTTTACTGCAGCTCCCTTGATCAAATTTATTAACAATCCACCTGCTAAAATTCTGAAATATCAGTCCTTGTGAATCCTACTTAGGTTAAATTGAAATTAAAGTTTAAAAAAAAATGACACAAATAACACCGATCTCCTCAAATAACAACAATTGACATAGAGAAACTAAACAACTGATGCATAAAAAATGAAGAACTAGTAAAAAAAATTTACAACTCTTATTAACTACATAACAATATTATAAATATAAATAAGTGAAGCTAGATGTATAGAAAATAAATAACTACTGTAGTAAAAATTTTTAATTTTCATTAACAACATAACAATACTATAAATATGAATAAGTGAAACTATAAGTATGGAAAATAAATAACTAATGTAGTGAAAATTTTTAATTTTTATTAACAACATAATACCACTATGAATATAAATAAGTGAAGTTAGGTGCATAGATAAATTATATCAGAAAAATGAACAAATAATGTATGTATAAAATATTGATGTAGGAAAAATTTATAACTCTCATTAACAACATACCACCATTATAAATATAAATAAGTGAAGTTAGATGCATGAACAATTAATGTAAGGAAAATAAACAAGTTCTGTATAAAAAAATAAACAATTGATGTAAGGAATTGGACTATTCGTTTCATTTTTTTCAAAAACTTAATTGATGTTTTAGAATTTTAATAGGTTGACTCTCCATAAGTTTGGTCGAGATTTGCTGTGAAATTTTGCCTTATTTTCTCGGCAACTAAGTAGGAAGGCTGTGAGTGGTGCTAAAGTGTGCGAGCTTAGCTTTTGTCATTAACTCATTGTACATTTATTTTAATTTTTGCCGTCCCAGCTGGCTTCCTGTGATTCCTTTTCTAAGAGCATGTTTGGATTAAAGGCAAACCTCAATTAGAATGGATTTAACTGCAATTAGGATATAAAATGTTAAAAAAATTTTATTTGGATTAACATGATTTTTTAACCTTAATTGGCAGGTGAATGTGCGTTAATGTTGAAGCTCACTCATTTGACGTTTCTCTTGAGCATTAGCGTTAATGCTCGTTGGAAGCATTAAATACATTTTAAATTTTATTGATTTCTCTCTCTTGCTTTTTTTCTACCAGCTATGCCTTTCCTTTCCTTTGTACATGGTGTCGTGACCTCCGAAGCTGCTTTAAAGCTCACAAATCTGCTTCTTCCTTCAAAACGTTGGCTATACACCTCAAAAGTTGCTTCACAAATCTGCTTCTTCCTTTCAAAACTCTCGACGAGCAGCTTCTTCCTTCTCATCTTTGTGCTTTCAGAATACTCGCTCGCAGATCTGCTTCTTCTTCCTTCCGTTAGTCAAGCGATGCCATCCAGCAGCTCATCTCTACTATGTTGAAGCACCTCCGGCCGATCTCCAACCCTCCATCGTCCGTTCTAGCTTCCACTATGTCGAAGCTCTGAAGTGGTTCTTCTCCCTGACGCATCTCGATCTCCACCATGTCCACCAAATTTGCACTTCCTATCACCAGATCTACTCCCCATCACCTGTCCTTGCCAAGTAAGGTTGTTCTGTTTGTCTCCTTCCTTTATGTCGTGCTCTATTGTTCCTTCTTTGCCTCATTTTTTCTTCCTTGACTTGAATGCTTGGTGATGATCCTCGGTGGCTGTTTCTGGAACTCGAGATCATCATTTTTTTTCAATCCCCTACAATGAGAAATGATATTAGATCGGCTAAATTGATTTGTGCAATGAGAAATGATGTTTCTTTGTTTCCAGAAATGATTGTTGGTGGCCGTTTCTAGGCTTCCTTGCACTAAAGTTGAATGCAAGGTAATTCTGTATGTGGCCTGCATAATTAAAAGTAAAGAAAATGGATGGAAAATGATAGGTAGATATAATATTCAACTTTATTGTATCCTAGATAGAACACTGCTATACCGTTTGTTGGGAGATAAAAAAAACATGCTGTAGGAGAGTAAGAGAATTTTTTCTTTTCATGGCAGGGGAGAGGAATATGGGAAACCCATAACTTAGGCAGTGAAGAATGGTATAGGGTGGTAATTCAACCTTAGCACGTTATATCTCACCTCAACCTTTAATTGATGTTTATTTTAGGTGAGTTATCAGTTTAATGTCATTGACTTGATTGATACATTTAAAAATATGGCATATAGCTCTCTTCTAAGGAATTTATTGATAAAAAGGCTCCATGAATTTGAAAAATGCCAAACTGAAAATCTGAAAATAAGAGTCTTTTGGTAAATTGTGATACATATATGTAGAAATATATATTGATTTTGCATGTTTGTGATGGCTAACTAGTCTATACAACAATGAATAGCAATAAAGGAAAAGCTGTGTGGAATTCAACTTTGACAAAAAATTTCATTAAAGAATGCTTGGAACAAGTGTACAAGAAATAAAGGAAAGGAACTGCTTCCAACAAAAATGGTGGCAGGCAATAATTGAGGGGTTTGAGGCAAAAATAGGAAAAATGTATGAGCGAAAGCAATTGAAAAATAAGCTAGATAACATGAGGAAAGAATGGAACGTATGACATAAGTTGTTTTCAAGGTGGGACAGTGACAAGAATAATGTTAATACTTCAGATGAGTGGTGGGAGCAAAAAATCTTGGTATAGATTAGTTGTTAAGTGTTTTTAAGATTAGAATTTAATTTGAGAATTTTAATTGTTGGTTATTTGAATGGTTGCAGAAAAATCCTCTTTATGAAAAATTTAAATATAAAGGTCTGAGATTTGCAAGAGAATTAACTTTGATATTCAAGGATGTCCTGACGATTGGGGAAACACTTTTTATACCATCTACTACCCAGACCCAAATAGAGGATGATGATGATGAGGATGTGTACCACCCTACTATTGACCTTCAGGAAGGCTCCGGTAATAGTGAAGAGGAGCTAAATTTATCTAACACCACAGCACCTACGAGGGTCACCGATGAGTTGTTGGGCTTAAATATCACCACAAATATCAATGGAACTAGTGGTGACGGAAGTCAAGGCAAGAGAAAAAGGGTGGTAGGCGTTGGTGGGAGGAAAAAGTAAAAGGTCCCTGCATCAATAAAAATAGTAGATGCGATGAGTAAAATGGCTAAGAATAATAGAGCTAGAACAGAGACAGTAAACAAGATTTTGGCAAATGACATAAGAGTTTCTAAGGTTGTGGCTTACCTAAATGGACTCCCAGAAGTTTTTGGTGATAAAGATTTGCATTGAAGATGTGTCAATCTTGTTTTGTACAAGCCTATGCGAGATCCTTACTGGCAACTCAAAGATCATCCTGATCACTTAGTTAATTGATTAAAGCACCAACTCTACCATCTACTAGATTTTATTTCAAAAAATACATCTAGATGAATTTTTATCTAGGCTTATGATGACTTGACTTGTGTTTGACTTGTAGTTGCTTTATTTTGACTTGTATTTGACTTGTAGTTGCTTTATTTTGACTTGTAATTTGCTATACAAATGATGACTTAGTTTGTAGTGAATATTTAACTCTTATCCAATGCTTATCTTATGCTTTATCTTTTATGTTATTGAATGATATTTATATACTATGTACTTTATATTATGCACAAATGATATTTACATACTATTTTACCTTAGGTTTAAAAATCATGGAAGAATCGAATGAATATATGTTAGGTTGGAATGAAGGTTGGGATGTAAATGTGGCTCATCAACTACTTCTCTTGTTACAGCAAGATATAATGAAGTAAGAAGAAATATGTCAATTAGTTAGTGAATATGTGATGCCTTATGTGTGTAAAGAGCCACGGAGAACTAGCATGTAAACAGGACAAATGTGGGTCAATGAGATTTTGCAAGGTCATCCTAATCATTGTTATGAAATGTTTCGAATGAAAAAACATTTGTTTAGACAACTGTGTGTAATACTAGTTGATCTTGGTCTAAAAAAGTCTAAAAAAATGAGAGTTGAAAAAATGGTTAGAATGTTTTTAAATACAATTAGACATGGAGTTGGTAATAGGATGAAACAAGAACGATTTCAGCATTCAGGGAAAACTGTCCGTAGAAATTTTCATAAAGTATTAGCTGCTTGCCTTAACCTTTCCAAGGCAAATACAAAGCCACTTGATCCTTTGTTTCGAAGATGTCATTCAAAAATTCAAAATGATCCACAATATTCGCCATTCTTTAAGGATGCTATAAGAGCAATTGATGGCACTCATGTGCCATGCGTGGTTAGTGTTGATGATCAAATCAAATTTATTGGAAGAAAGGGATATGCAACACAGAATATTATGGCTGTTTGTGATTGGAACATATGTTTTACTTTTGTCATTGCGGGATAGGAAGGTACGGCTCATGATGTTCGAGTATTTGATAATGCCATATCAACTCCTTTAATGCATTTTCCGCACTCACCTCCGGGTATATTTTATTGAAGTCACTATAATTATTATTGCATTGATTTAATGTTGGTCAAATTTACATCACTTCCTTTCATTTAATGGGTAAATATTATTTGGTTAATTCTGGTTATCCAACACTAAATGGGTATCTTGGTCTATATTGTTGCAAACTTTATCACCTTCCAGACTTTAAGCAAGTTGCAAGATTTGCAAACAATAATGTGATCTTCAAGTATTATCATTCAAGTCTAAGATGCACTATAGAAAGAACTTTTGGAGTGTAGAAGAATAGGTTGCAATTATACGAAAAATGTCCAAATTTAAATATAAAACACAAGTTCAAGTTGTTTGTACAACAATGGCAATACATAATTTTATTAGGAGAAATTCAATTACTGATGAGCAGTTCATACAAGCTGAAGATGAAAGTGTAAAAGTCTAGGAGGAAGATACCAATATTGGTAAAACATCCTCATCAAATCTACCCGGATCATTAAGATAGATGCAGCGTGTTCATAATACAATTAAAGATTAACTTGTAAATCATATCAATTAAATATTAATTTATTTTAGGTTTTCATGGTTGAATATTTAAGATATTTTACTTATTAGTTGTGATTTTAAGTTTAATATTTTTTGCTTATTAGTTAGTCAAAAAAATATAAACATACTTATTTAAGATTTAATATTTAAAATAAAAAATTCAAGCTTATTTTTGCAATCAAACATCTCAACTGGTTTTTGAATTAAACCATCCGAACGAATTTCAATTTATCTGACTAACTTAAAAAAAATGATATCTAAATATAAATTATATTATATCAATTAATTTTTTTTCTAACCTTAATTTACTAACTTCAATTAAATCCTAATTTTAATTATAAATTTTTTAATTCAAACGCACTAAATGATTCAACTGAGTCAACGTGAACGCACATGACTCTCCTTTCTTGATTCTATTTGCGCAAAACTCAAAAATGTCATTCCCTATTTTCACCCTAACGAAGATGCACAGCTGGGGTGACCAAGACGGACAGTAATCCCCCTTTCTTTTAATAAATGTGGATCCAATAAATAAATAAATAAATAAATGTGGACCCCCTAAAACTCGGATGTGTGCTGCTCATTGTGATTCCTACTGTATGAGTTTTGTCTGCTGCTGTGATTATGTGCATTGTCCACACGCCAGTCTGCCATTGCTTGGAAATTCTTTAAATGTTGAAGGAAAAAAAGGTAACATTATATTGATTTTGAAAAATCATGTGTTATTGCTGGACAAATTTGTCATGGCGCTTAATCCATTAAAAATTATTAATTGATGAATTTTTGCAAACTACAAAAGACTCCAACGAACCCAATTTATAAATCGGTTTATCTCTCTAATCCACGAATTGAGTTTTGTTTTAATCTTAATTTAAATATGAAGTTAAAGATGACACAAAAATATAAAGAAAATAAAACAAAAACATAAGGATATCAGAACTCATAATTCATTATTGGTCACAACGTATTCTATATATTTAACCAAGATCATCAACTCATGCTTCCACAAAACAATACCTACACGCCACTACAATCATCGTCATTTTTACAACCCGTGAAAATATTTTTTAAAAACAATTTTTAAAAAATTGCTCAAACTTTTCTTCTTATTTTTATATGGAGAAACAATATTTTCATTTTTCCAGCAAACAATTAAATATTTTTACGATTAGTGGAATAGTTGCGACGAAAAATGCTGGGGAAAGAGAGGAGAAACAATTCATCGGAGAAAACATGTACAACAGTTAAAGTAAGACCTAAGAAGCACTTGGCACTTGATCATGTTGATCTCCCTGCATCAAAGAATCACATTTTTATAAGCTTACTTAAAAGTTTTCTATATTTTATTTTAGGAATATATTTTACTATGTATAATTTATCCTGAGACATGGAGAGTAGTTTAGGTCTCATGTAACACCTCATTTAGAAACATCAGACACATGTGTCCTTAGATAATCTTCACAAAATAAACTGAAACAAAACTGTGGGATCACAACATAAAACAAAATAAATATGGGCATAGGGGGCTCAGTCCCAAGTTGCACACAACTCACAACAAGCCCTATATCCGAGCACATACATAAAAAACTGGTCAGACTTCAGGCCCTCATAGTCATAGATAATAAATGTCAAAGCTCAGGTGTAATTAAAAATCATAAATAAAGAATAATATTTTCAACGTAAACCAAAGTTCATCAAATCTAATAAATTCTTGAGGCCACTGTTGAGCCTCAAATTAATAAATGAAAATTGTTACTAGAGTCATGGCAAAATAAATGAGCAAACAAAATGTGCCCATACAAGAGGAGTACAACAAAGCCTCTACTAAGGTTTCCACAAACAAATCCACAAAACCAGTTATAAGATAACATTTCCTTGAGTCCTATGTATGAGTATGAAACAAGCAAGAAAAATGTGAAAAAATGTCTCGTGTATTACTAAGATAAAAATTACATTATATGGATTAATAAATCAATAACCCAACAATGATTAATAATTACTTCTTCTGTTCAAAAATATAAAATATTTTTTTAAGGATTGGATGTTTAAAAATATAAGGCATTTTTAATCTTTTGAGGTGTAATTATTGCCTTTTTTTCAAAAATGCCCTATTGATAATAAATTTATATTTATTATAGAGTGTTTAATAGAGGTAAGTATATAAAGATAGAGTTGGTTGGAAAGTAGGTAATTATTTTATTGGGGTAAATTTAGTTAAAAATACCTTACATTTTTTAACGGAGGAAATATATAATAATATCAAATAATATTTTTTAATAATGATTGATATATATATATATACACACCTAGTGATGATAGAATATTTAGATAATATTATACATGACATCCCCTCAAACTCAAGATAACTGATACTTGGTTTAAATTGGAATAAATTGAATGGTGCCTTAAATAAAATGCTCCCAAGTAAAATGACAATCAATTTCAATATATTTGGTTCGATCATGAAACACATTTTGAGCAATTTTAATTATAGCTTGACTGTTACAACATGTGTTTGTGAAGGAGCTTTGAGATGCTCCTTGTTCATTAAATAACCAATGAAGCCAAAGTACTTCAGCGATCGTGTTGGCTAGTGTACACTATTTGATTCAGCATTAGAGTGAGAGGCTAACATCTATTTCTTACTTCTCCAAGAGATAAGGAAATGATCAAGGAAGATACAAAAACCAATCGTAGACCATCGATCATCATCGCTATATAGTAGTAGAATATATTTAACGATTATTTATAGTTTCTGAGACCCAAACCTTAAAAAACGTAAAGACTATATAATGGGTACGCTTTTAATCGCTATATAGATCATAAGACTCTATAAAAATTATTTTATAAAACCATTATATAGTCTCAAGGAGGAAATGTCACCTCCTCTAAATAACTATGCACTATACATAGGCTATTTTTTAGTAGCATTTATAAATTGACTATATGAATATTGTACATTAATATTAAAAATTTTATATTTTTAATATTAAATTTGGGCTAACTATATTAAATCTGAACTTTTTCAATTGATAATCATATTTTAAAATTTTTTTATAATATTTATAAATCAACTATTTAGATGTACTTTATACAGTACAAATTTAATATGAAAATTATAAAAAAAAATTAACTTTAAGATTAAATTTAAAAAATTTATATTAAATCTTGATCGTCCATATTGGTGATAAGATTTAATAACAAAAATTTATAAATATATTTATTTAAACAAATATAGAATAAAAAGTTAAAATTAAAAATATTTAATATAGACCATCCACATTTTATATGGGAAAGGAGAGGAGGGGTAGTGGAGGAATGGTAAGTAGGAGAAAAACCAAGTCCATAACTTATTTAAGATTGGGGAAGAAAAACATAGCAGTGCTCCACTCCATAATCTTTTAATGTTGCTATAACATAATTGAATAATTTCAAGCTTATGTAACTGATTAATTTATGGCAGAGATTTCAGAGAATAAGAATTCCATCTGAGAAATTTTAATACACCGGGAAGAACATTGAGATTTTGTGAAAGAAGAATGCTACTTAAGTTCAAAAGTCTAAAATTTTTTATCTTCGAAAAGCAA